AAGTGGGAAAAGAGCGAGAGTCCTCTGTACTTTATAGGGCAACGATTCGTGTAATACCAAAAATTAAGAATATAAGTTTTCAATTAAAGAAAGGGTTCATATCAACTTTAGTCTCTCGACTTTCTCTTCCCTTTTTCTTTTTTCAAAAGCTATGTCTACTTTTTAAATTTACCATGTTATTGATGTGGATTGTCGAAATGCTAACAATGTAATGTCGGCCCCTTTAAAATGACTGTAGGTAGAATGAAAAAGTAAGAACAGAAAAAGTAATTGAAAACGAAAGAATTGTATAAAAAAAAATGGAAGATGGGATTTAAGGTTCCGTAAAAAAAAACAAGAAAAGGGAAAACAAATTAGGGTTTTCAAATTGGTACCACTCCAATTGGGCGAAAATTGTCGACTAAAATTAATGGCGTCTTCTTCATTAAGCATACGATCCACCCTTACTGTAATGAACATCACAAACTTTTTTTTACGTTAATTTTTGTCCGACACATGTTTTGAATGCTTTATAGTAGTTGTTTTTTTTTTCTTTTTCAGAATTTTAATTGGTTTTCAAGTACTTGGCAAAACGAGCTCTTCAAATAATGGCTGAAAAATTGATTTTTTGCGTTACCTCGAATTTTCCCTACACTTGAAATAAGGCATTGACAATTACACCAAAACATGTTTCTGATTGCTTTAAACTGAAAATTAAATTTTTAAGAAAAAAAAAATTTACTTCTCATCAATAATTGATCATGTTAATGAGGACCTCAAGAATGACTTTCAAGTGTATCTTATGATGATTGATGTAATTTCCAAACCATTGAATGCCACATATAACAAGAAAGGTTAGCACATTGAAAATTGTTAATTTTCTTTGTCTAGCTTATGCTAAGTAAGTTCAATGATGATCGCATTCTTTAATAAAATGATAAATACATTTACTTTTGCGAAGAAAGTTGTGCTTTTCACCATCAAAAATTGTGCTTTGTACTCAGGTGGGCATAACTATTTCCACAGTTAAAAGTTGCTGTGACCATAGCTTTTCCCAATCTTTTCAGTTTCCATGAAGAAGATGATGGAGCTGGAAATCTCTAGGACTAGGCCCATCCCGTATCAAGTATCAACTTGGAGAAAAATAACGTCCTTTGAGAAAATAAAAAGTGCAGTTATCTTATTGAAATGAAGCTCCCTAGAAACAAGGTGCCCATTTCGGATGTGAAATGAAATTTTAAAGTAGCATTCGTTGAACCTTTACTCTCTAGAGAGCTAATGTTATACTAAGATGCGAGTTCAAATCCATCAAGTACATCTGGAACGTCGGAGTCTACTATAAAGCTAGAAAGGAAGAAGAGTATGTGCCAGATAGTAGACACAACATCAAAAAAAGCAAAACACCAATTTACCATATCATGAGTCATAGGATATCCGTTCAACTCCAGAAAAGACGGAATATCAGCTGGCGCTTGTTCCACAATGTTTTCACCTTCTTTAGGCTTTTTCTTCCCTTTAGAAGGATCTCCATCAAACACTCAGGGGCTGATCTTCCTGGAAAGGATATGTGCACAGACATAATCCTGGCAATCTATGCACAGACGAACCTGCAAAATCCATCGATCAGAAAACCAATCATAGTAATAGTGCATAAACGGCTAAAAGCAATACAAAAACCCGTACTTGTTAAAAAATCAAGGCAATTTTCTCTGTCTTTGCCGTTGCTCCAAAACTTTCTACCTGCACTTCAAACCCATCATAGGAATGTTGGACAAGGAAAAACCAATCCCAAGATCAGTGACAACAGAAGTCAACTTCTAGTTACCCCAATTTCTTGCATCAAATCAGTAGCTTCTTCTGTAAGACCCTGTTCTTCCATTATTTTTGCAAGTTTCTTGATCAACCGTGCTCTCAAGATTTCGACATATATCTGCATTATGAAACTAGCTACAGAAACCACGAAACTAAGACAGATTGCTGATGAACATAAGCTGCAATAGAGTTTGAAAATACATTCACCTTCCTGCGGCGACAGAGTTAAGTGTCTTAATAAGCTCTATCTTGGTCTTGAGATCAGGCGTCTGGTCAACATATTGCATAGCCTGCTGCACAATTGCTGTCATAGCATTTTGACAAGAAAACAGCGACATGTAGGTCACTATCTATTGACTTGATTATGTCTAGATCACAATTACAAATTTGATTTGAACTATTTGATTAACAGCACGGAATATGTCGCTCTAGAATGAAAATGTGGTAAAAAAAGGAACCAAAAGGGACACTAGCAAGGTACAATACAGATACAGGTATCTCTTATGAAGAGGATCCCAGCCAATTGAAAACTTGCAAACAGCACAAGCACTATAAAATCCCCATAAACGATATATCATGAAATGTATCGTGAACTAGACATGTAAAAGAAAAAAGCAATGCGATTCATACATGAGAAGGAGAACAAAAAGTAAAAATTGGGGACAATCATGGGATAAAAATCCAGAAACACAAGGTGAGAAACTGAAGAGGATTCCACAATGCTAGATTCTAGAGGATTCCACCATACTAGATTCTAGAGCACAAGCACCTGGCCTGAGGTCTTGCATCCCGACAAATTGCCTAGAGCCAATTCCCATGTAGATATGCCAAGCACATTCGTTTTTTAGATAGTTATACATAGATGGCATGTCACAGCTACACAAAACGACAGTTCATGATCTAATCAGTACACATATGCGAGCCAATCCCTGCAGTATAAAATATAACCCTTAAGGTCAAGGTGGTCAAGATAGATCCTAAATGATTGAAATTGGACCATACTTTAGATCAATGATCATAAGGCTCTACAGAAAATTAGGGTCTAAAGCGATAGATTCTTAATCTTTTTTCTGTACTAACACCTGTATGTTATCTTTGAAAAGAGGGAATGAAGCTCAAAAGCAGAAGACAAAAGCAAGAGCATCACCACAGCAGAAGCACATCAGTGAAGATGCTCTGATACCTCTTAAAGGAAGTCAACTAGAGAAGCATCTGGGGCAAAAGTGAAGAAGAGAAGAAAACAAACGCAAAACCAGATGATTCCAGAGGAACTTATCAGCATTCAGCATAGCATAACAATGACACACCATCAATGAAGAGGGAAAATTCCACCAGCTTATCACCCAAAAGCAGAGATGAAAAGGCAATTATACAAGCATGTATAATTATCATTATATGGTCTCTTTATTAGAGGATAGTGTTGATTTAATAAATTGAGGCATGTGATTCATTAAAGCTCTCAACAACAGCAGTAAGAGAAACCAAAAACAGAGCTATTTTCCATGAGTGATTCAGCTACAAAGATTTTCTGAACACATTAATCAAGATCTCTAGTGAGATATACTTTTGTAACACAGGAAATGGTGAGTGCTAATACTAGCAGAAAAAGCTTGGTCAGCTATTTTTAGCGATATAGCAGAGCTCCTCCCACCCTTCTAAAGCACATTAGAATTTCAGGCTCCATGGGACAAGAAATGGTTTCACAATGCCAGGCAATGACACTTATAGCTACAACAAATTTATGAGCAGAAGTCAACTAAGCCAAGTGTACACATATATGTCGGTCAGAAATGCTTACAAAACAAACCTATGAAGACAACATTCTCAAATCCGCGACAAGCCTTTGGCTTTCAAGTCACCAAAACCTCTTTTCCACTATTTTGGAACTTGTATCCAAGTCCAGCAACCAGGCCCCAATCAGGAATTTAAGGCAGAGAGGCTGCTCAGGTTGAATGAGGGGTCTAGGCAATCATTCATAAAGAGAGACATTGATAAAGAACATAAACAAATGTTCCACATGATCAGACCTGGATACTGAGGCATAACAGCTCTGCAAGTCTCTTTAAGGTAATCCTCGAGTAACACTTTGAAACCACAATAATATTCTGCAGAAAATAGAGTGAGTCACATCTGAATGATGATCCAATGAAAAGAAGAAAAATGACAAAGTTCTGTAATCACATCTGAATATCAGATGGCGCTTCTTCCACAGTATCTTCACCTTCTTTAGGCTTTTTCTTCTCCATGGAAGGATCTGCATCAAAAGCTCGGGGGATGATCTTTCTGGGAAGGATATGTGCACGGATATGATCCTGGCGATCTAGGCACGAACGAACCTGCAAAATCCATCGATCAGAAAACCGATCATAGCAATAGTGCATAAACGGGCTAAAGGCAATACAAAAAACCCGTACTTGTTCGAGGACAAAAGGCGATGTTCTCCGCCTTTGCCTTTCGCTCCAAAAAGTTTCTACCAGCTAAGCGGGTTATGGTGGAAACTCAAATTGTTGCTACTGAGGCGATGAAGACTCGCCCGACATCAATCAATTTGCACTTCATAAGTAAGTGTAGATTCAAGTACCCTGCCAGAAAGGATATCATCAGGCTAATCTATTTGTTTTTTGACATATTTTACTTTGTATACATACATGCACACACAGGCGCCACCATTAAACTTCCACGGGGAATATCAACCCCAACCTTCCATCATTCAAGGAAGAAGTAGAGGAAGAAGAAGATGAACTAACCAGGCGAATCAGCACGACAATTGCTAAAGGACGATCCAATCAGAAGAACCAACCCATCTCGATCCGCACGCAGAAATCGGAAGGGCGAGCTCGAGAAAATCGGCAAAAAGGTCTGCGAGCGCAATCGCTGTGGAGCGCCCCTAAGGGGAAGGAAAAGAAGGAGAGAGGAAGAGGACTGGACGAACACCTCGCTCGCGAGGAACTCTCCATTCCTGTCATCTCTCCTCTCTGAACGCGCACCGACGGAAGAGCAAATCGGAGGAGATCCGAAACACCTTCAAGTGAAACTCCCCGCTGGCCCGACCCGACCTCCCCAGCTCAGCGGATCCCCCAGCGCCGCCGCCGCCGCCGCCGTCGCATCTCCGCCGCCGCCCGGAAGTGACGATGCTTCAGTCTCTCTCGGGCGGTAGCAACTGCTGGTGATGACTAATAACGAGCAGAAGGAGTAAAAAAGACCGCGCGGTGACAGGATAAAACGGTGCGAATCTCGTTAAGCCTCGACAGAACCCGACGAATCCGCGGGGGGATCGTGAGCGCCATCCATAAATCCGGCAGCACGATCTCTCTCTCTGTCTCTCTCTCTGTCTCTCTCTCTCTCTCTCCCTCGTTTGCCTGACGTGTTCTTGTACTCCCGCCTCCAGAAGTTCCCTGAATCATCCACAAAAGAGAGAATTGCGGTCGATGAGATATCACGGAACAATTGAAAAAAAAGAAGGAAGAAAATCGAAAGAAACCAATTCAAGCAATCGAGGAAAAGCGAGCGAATTCGCGCCATTCCCAGAGTGCAGGATTTCGATCGTCCAACCTTTAAGAAAACCGAGATGGCTACGGGTCGAAGGCGAAGGGATGTTTCTTGAAGAGCTGCTTGTTCTCTCAAACGTCTTGTGATTTCCACAGCGTAGATATGGACCGGGATGCCCGGCATTAGAAGAAGCGAACAGAAGATAGATAAAAAGTTCAACTCAGCCGTGTGAACAAAACAAACACGTTATAAGATGGCTCGCGAGCGAGCAGAGAGCATCCTTCAAATGCGGAACTTGCGAAAAGATAAATAATTTAAAAGTCTGGTGCTCGTATCGTGTCGAGGATGAAATGACAAATGACAAGTTATTTCCCCAAACGGCACTCTTTTGAACACACAATAGCCTTCAGATGCTTTGATCCGGAAAGATCCGGCGATCGCCCAATATCCGGCATCCTGAGTCCTTCAATTTTGTGATCGAGTCGGGAATCTTCCTCAACGAGCGGCATCCCTTTAATGACAAGTGCCGCAGAGACACAAGGGAACCTATGGAGCTGGGTATGCAGGCTAACGATTTACAATAAGAGGCATTAAGAGTCTCAAGCATTCTCAGAGAACCAATGGATTCAGGTAATTCTTCAATCCCTGTTTCAAATAGGTTCAGTTCAGTCAATGATGCCAACTTTCCAATCGAGTCGGGAATCTCTCTCAACGAGGGGCATCCTCCTAATAACAAGTGCCGCAGAGACACGAGGGAGCCTATGAAGTTTGGGTATACGGGCTAAGGATTCACAATAAGAGGCGGCGAGTCTCTAGCTTTCTCCGAGAACCAATGGATTCGGGTAATTCTTCAATCCCCTGTTTCAAATAGGTCCAATTTAGTCAATGATGCCAACTTTCCGATTGAGTCGGGAATCTCTCTCAACGAGTAGCAACTCGATAATGACAAGCACCGCAGAGACACGAGGGAACCTATGGAGCCGGGTATGCAGGCTAACGATACACAAGAAGAGGCATCAAGAGTCTCGAGCATTCTTAAAGAACCAATGGATTCGGGTAATTCTTCAATCCCTGTGTTAGATAGGTCTAGTTTAGTCAATGATGTCAACGTTCCGATCGAGTCGGGAATCTCTCTCAAACAGGGGCATCCCTTTAATAACAAGTGCCGCAGAGACATGAGGGAGCCTATGGAGCTGGGTATATGGGCTAAAGATTCACAATAAGAGGCATCGAGAGTCTCGAGCTTTCTTAGAGAACCAATGGATTCAGGTAATTCTTCAATCCCTGTTTCAAGTAGGTACAATTCAGTCAATGATGCCAACTTTCCGATCGAGTCGGGAATCTCCCTCAACGAGTAGCATTCCTGTAATGACAAGCACCATAGAGACACGAGGGAGCCTATGGAGCCGGGTATGCGGGTTAACGATTTACAACAAGAGGCATCAAAAGTCTCGAGCTTTCTCAGAGAACCAATGGATTCAGGTAATTCTTCAATCCCTGTTCCAGATAGGTTCAGTTCAGTCAATGATGTCAACTTTCCGATCGAGTCGGGAATCTCCCTCAACGAGCAGCATCCCTCTAATGACAACCACCGCAGAGACACGAGGGAGCCTATGGAGCTGGGTATGTGGGCTAACGATTCACAATGAGAGGCATTAAGAGTCTTGAGTTTTCTCAGAAAACCAATAGATTCAGGCAATTCTTTAATCCCTGTTGCAAATAGGTTCAGTTCAGTCAATGATGTCAACTTTCCGATCGAGTCGGGAATCTGCCTCAACGAGTAGCATCCTGGCAATGACAAGCTTTGCAGAGACACGAGGGAGCCTATGGAGCTGGGTATGCGGGCTAACGATTCACAACAATAGGCATTAAGAGTCTCGAGGTTTCTCAAAGAACCAATGGATTCAGGTAATTCTTCAATCCCTGTATTAGATAGGTTCAGTTCAGTCAATGATGTCAACTTTTCGATCGAGTCGGGAATCTCCCTCAACAAGTAGCATCTCGATAATATCAAGTGCGGCAAACACACGAGGGAGCCTATGGAGTTGGGTATGCGGGCTAACAATTCACAAAAAGAGGCATCAAAAGTCTCGAGCATTCTCAAAGAACCAATGGATTCAGGTAATTCTTCAATCCCTGTTTCAGATAAGTCCAATTTAGTCAATGATGCCAACTTTCCGATCCCAGTCGGGAATGCGCATAACGGCGGCATCCCCGTAATGACAAGCTTTGCGAGAGACACGAGGAGCCTATGGGCTGGGTATGCGAGCTAACGATTCACAACAAGAGGCATCAAGAGTCTTGAGGTTTCTTAGAGAATCAATAGATTCAGGTAATTCTTCAATCCCTGTATTAGATAGGTTCAGTTCAGTCAATGATGTCAACTTTCCGATCGAGTCGGGAATCTCCCTCAACAAGTAGCATCTCGATAATGACAAGCGCGGCAAACACACGAGGGAGCCTATGGAGCTGGGTATCCGGGCTAACGATTCACAAGAAGAGGCATCAAAAGTCTCAAGCATTCTCAGAGAACCAATAGATTCAGGTAATTCTTCAATCTCTGTTTCAGATAGGTCCAATTTAGTCAATGATGCCAACTTTCCAATCGAGTCAGGAATCTGCCTCAACGAGTAGCATCCCGGTAATGATAAGCTTTGCAGAGACACGAGGGAGCCTATGGAGATAGGTATGCGGGCTAACGATTTACAAGAAGAGGCATCAAGAGTCTCGAGCATTCGCAAAGAACCAATGGATTCAGGTAATACTTCAATCCCTGTTTTAGATAGGCCTAGTTTAGTCAATGATGTCAACTTTCCGATCGAGTCGGGAATCTCCCTCAACGAGTGGCATCCCTCTAATGACAAGCACTCCAGAGACACGAGGGAGCCTATGGAGCTGGGTATGCAGGCTAACGACATACAATGAGAGGCATCAAGAGTCTCGAGCATTCTCAAAGAACCAATGAATTCAGGTAATTCTTCAATCCCTGTTACAGATAGGTTTAGTTTAGTCAATGATGCCAACTTTCCAATCGAGTCCATAGATTTTGGAAGTTGAGCAAGATCTTCACAAGAGGCATTCTCCAACTTCATCAAACAATCTCTCGGAATAGGAATGTCTAGTATAGCAGTATCATTTAAGAAGAGCTCCTTCAATTCTTCCATCTTATCTACCTGTGCCGGTAGCTTCTTCACTTTTTCACACCAACTAACATCCAATGAAACGAGGGTCTTGATATCCTCGATAGAAGGATGAATCTCTTCTAGATTGTTACATCCTTTAAGGATCAAAATCTCCAAGCTTTTGAAATTGGACAAGTCGGGAGTTTTTCTCAAAGATTGACAATATGAGAGCTTGAGAACTTTGAGCTCAGTTGACATCTAAAAGAAAGAAAAAGTAACTCAGTGATATTGGACCTCTACAAAGTGTGAATTTCCACTGCTCCTCGTTTTCTTTAGACTTTTTAAAATTTCCTCAAATTACTCATGCTCCATTACTCCTTCACAATTGTCTTATTTAATTTTATATATTTCTTATAGTAGTGTTTGGCTACACCAACATATAAACATTTTTTATACGTATCCAATGCAAAAACAATGTTAAGGATATACAAGTGCTGACTGCATTTATTTTTGGATAACACTTCAAAGAAAATATATGTTTATTGATTAGACATGAGCAAATTTTATAATCAAAGAAGCAGATGACGAATTCAAATGGAAGAAACATAAATTCATTGGGCGCCATATTTTCCTTCAATAGTATGAAAATAAAGAGAAACGGCTAGTTTAATTATGAAAAAAAATTACATTTTGTATGTACAAAATATAAAAAGATGTTATATCAAAAAATATGAAAAGCCATTGGAATGATAATTTTGTCACTCTTTCAACATTACTAAGTTATAATTGTGTTATACAGTGACTTCAATAATCAACAAATATAATGAACAAAATTTTCTGTGCAACAAGTCAGAGCAATTCATAAATTATTCCATTACTCTATGATAAAAATGAATTTATAATTTCAGTATGTATGTGCAACAGAAGTCACTGTCATGGAGTTTTTGTTTCTCAATGAAAGAAGATCGATATATACATATAGCAAGAATCTCTAAAAGGACCTACTTTTGCATGGGGAGAAATTAACTTAGGAGCTTTAAACCGTTTAGATTAAAAAAATCAAGATAGGCACATTATTGTAATTACAATTTTAATAGATGTTAATTAATATAGTTAAAAAGAAGTTTTTTCTAGTATATCTAATGCTAAGCATGACAGGGTGTAAAGATGTTATCAATTTAAGATATTAAGTGGCAGAAGCTTAAATTTAGGTGCCTATAAATTCCTCTTATATTAAAAAAATCCTTAATCTGAGGAAGGATATTAAATCTTTCAGAAAGAAAGGAAAGAGAACTTGGGATGATTGCACCCGTGGACAATACGTGATAATGCACGAGATGTGCCTTTTCTACATCTTACCTTGAGTGGACTCCATCCTCTCCAGTCCTCTGAAATCTGAGTATACGACATATCAAGCACGACTAATTTCTTCGTATGAAAGCTGGCCACTTCTAAATCCAAGGGACAATTTTGGCACTCAAGCCATCTTAATTGAGGAAGCACGATATGGAAATCTCCGGTGAACTTCGCATTGATCATTTTAAGGAACCTCAAGTTGGTCAGTTCTTTAAATTGTTCCGCTGTGTAACTTCCTCTCTTGTATAGATGAATGGCCTCAATCTTACTAGGGCCCTGCAATAAGAAAATAGTGTGGACCATAAGTTTTGAATGATGAAATGAGAGCAACTATATATAAGAAAATAGGAATTCATTTCAATTTGTTAATACTATTACGGTGTAGGCTTCTCACTTTCAATTTCGTGAGATGACAAGTTACAATTGCGTATTATTTATCTAATTAATGTAAAAATCCGAAGCTCAAGAGGGTGCTTTCGAACTTTTCCTCTTCTAATTACGCCCTTCACAATTTGCACTTCTTGAACTCCTGAAGGTTCGACCAAAAAAAAAACACTCCTGAAGCTGCATCCTTTTCACAATTTCAATAGATGGCCTCTCTTTTGCAAACGCTACTTCGAATATATCTATCGAAATTCATGCCCTTTATAAGGGAAACAACACAACCCATACTCATATCATTTATATGTAAAACAACACGACTCTTACAATCCAAATACATATATCAAACTTGCCACGAGAACATGTATCAAAGTTAAAGAATCCCAATTGTACAATCCCCCCCGCGCCCTTTTGTTTTTTCTTGGTGTGCCTTGTTCGCAATTCTCAATATCAAAATGAAAATGAAAATGTCATCGCAAAAAGTACGTACGTGTTCTACATTCCTTTCTTACTTCATTATATTTTGCATCTCAATGTTTATATTTAGTCTGTTTTAATTAAAGATACTCATCACATTTGCACATGCTTGTACAAATCATCCATATGTTATGATAGCTTTTAGTTGCGTACCTTTTAATTTTCATGCTAATAATGGATATTAATCATCACACAACATTCAAAATCATATTATTTAGACGACAACAAAAATTAAACTTAAAAGTATCGGAATAAGCCATTGCTTTGAATTCACCCACTTTTTTTGATACTACGCATATTAATCTAATCAATAAAATTCAATTTCCCGCTTTTTCACCAATAAATATGCCATCTTAAAATTTACGTGACAATGGACAACCTTCACATTTAGATCTAATGATAAAAAAGTTTATTTTGACTTACATCTAACTATTACAAAGTGATAAGACCTATCTCTGATTGTAAAAACAATTTATTTTGAATTAAATCTAACTATTACAAAACGACTGCATCGAGCATTTAGGAATAGTTCAAGTACCACATGAAACGAATTAAAAGTCCGACGATGATATTGCACATTGGGCTAAAGTTTAGAAACTATTGATGTTATTTTATTAACTAAATCTTTGCTAAATAAGATGCTCACTAAAAGTTGAACAATGCTGAAATCATTATTATACAACGATAGCTATATTCGGCAAATAAATGTTATCAAGGGATTAATAGGAATATCCATTGTCACAGAAAAATAAAAAGAGTGAGCAAATTCATAGAAAAAAAATTATCCACTATTATGAAATGTCCATAGAACAAAAATATTATTTATTTAGAGAGTTATAGTACACGATTGGGCATATGTCATGAATAATTATAAAAGCCATATTAGCAAATCGACGGTGTTAACTAATAGTTGATGACAAAGAACTCAATTGCACAAATTTGAAAGATAAAGGACTATATTGTGCGAAAAAAATAGATAGGGGACTAAATCACACAAACATTTCTGCTTGGGAGACTAAATTTGTGCTTAATCCAATTTGAAAAATACAGGAATCAAGATAGCTAATTGTCACAAATGAATGGAGGTCCCATTTATCATAGCAAACGACTCATAAGAAGTCAATACCTTAGTAAAAGAAAAGAAAGAAAAGACTCGCATGAAATCAAAAGAAGAATCCAGAGATCAAAAACTATGCATCAGACACACGTGTGGGGAAGCATGGCTACCAACATCAAACTGTGCATCAGACTCGCAAGAATTCGTAGATGCTAGGTTTTCTCTGAAAATGCTCTATCAAACATTATATTTCTATAGCTTGGTTGTTGCATTGAAATTACCAAAGAGAGTGTCCTCGTCAACTATACATGTAACCAAGAAGTTGCTCCTCAATTATGTCCTATAATCAGGCAAGAACAACAATTAACTGAAAGAGCTCTTTTTCTATGCCTGTAGAAGCGGCATTTGGGAACTTAGGATTGACAATAATTTTTATCTCGAACAAGAGAGAGAAGATGGACTCACATCCACTAACTTAAATAAAGTATAGAAAACTCTACCTTGTTGCTGTCAAGCACATCTTCGGCTTCCTCATGAATCCATAATCTGCTACGCTTTTGAGGCTCCTTTGGATTTTCTAGACGGACAATTTCTCTTCCAAGATCTCTTAGTTGATCATGCATCATTAGATTACCGTCCTTGTCAATTTTAATTAGAGACATGAGACTCAATACTTCAATCCCTTTTCTCGGGAAGAAACCGCAGCTTTCCCACATATAAATCGGGCATTGTTTAGATGATCTGATAAAAAAACACGCAATATCCAAAAATATTTGTTGGTCCTCATAATCTAATGCGTCATAACTTATCCTCAATGTATCTTGCACTTTCTTATGAGGCACTTTTTTCAATTTCTGTGATGTATCTTTCCATACTCCTTGTGTCTTTCCACATAAGAAAGAACCTATTACTTCAAGAGCTAAGGGAAGCCCGTCGGTAGTAGATACGACATCACGAGAGATAACTTCATAATCACTCGGAGGAGAATCCTGTCGAAATGCATGTCTACTGAATAAAATCAATGATTGATCCACAGACAACTCATTGAGTTGGTACATGTGGTCTGCACTAACTTGGCCAAGAACATCGTTGTTTCTAGTTGTTATGATGACTATACTTCCTGCTTTAAACCAACCACGGTCGACCAAATATTTCAAGTGAGCAGCATCATCTATATCATCAAGAAAAATGAGTGCTTTCTTATGTGCAAATCTAGATTTGATGAGACGGATTCCCTCGTACACATTAGACACATCACATGAACTTCCATTGCCAGATATGACTTGCTTTTGTAGGCATTTAATACCCTCGCGCTGATAAGTTTCCCGACAATCTGCCACAAATCTACAATTCTCAAAATGACCGGAGAGTTCGTTGAATAATGCCTTTGCAAGGGTCGTCTTACCGATACCGCCCATTCCATGAATTCCGATAATCCATGTACCGTTGAATTTAGCATCAATGAAGCTCATAATGTTTTTGATATGATCATCAATTCCAACCAACTGTTGGGGAACAATTAACTGAAAAGTTCTTTTTAACTCGCTTATAACCTTTGTGACAACAATTTTGACCAATGCTCCTTCATGCCTGTCAAATAATAATGAATTTTAGCATAGGAGGGGATATAAATATTCTTTTTCAAAAAAGATCTATTTGTGAGAAATTAAACAACAATTTAGTGGAGAAAAATTGTACCCGTTATCAATTTTCTCTGATTCCCATCCTTTCAAAGAACCGACTTCTTTGAGCGCTTCTTCCCATTCCTTCACTTCTTTGAGCGCTTTTTTCCAATCCTTCAAAACCATTTCGTCCCTATTCTCTTTATGTGCCTTGATAGCATCTTCGAATCTCCCTGTAAGATGGCGCACTTGTGAGGGTTTCACTTTGTAAAATATGGGCAGCACTATTTGCCCTTTGGTTCTCTTGCACTTCAACATTAGAGCCAGCTCACGAAGGCACCATTTGCTGAAAGCATAGTTCTCAG